AGTAAACCCCCAGAATTTCCATTTTTGGGAACCCAAGCACTTCATTTCTTCCTTGTTCACTTTGTCCATATTCAGCAATTGTTATAATGACAGCAAAAAATGCATTGCAAAATGGCTTTCCACTACTGACATTCTTCATTAATTTATGTTTCCAGTTCATGAGTTAAACCAAAACTATGTCTTCGGTTTAAATATAACAACATACAACCTCTGTGAATTGAACTGTTCTCATGTTTATCAATCATAATTGAGTTGTGCCAATCGCTAAATCCATCCGTAGCAAATCGAGACTTAAATGATTCAGGGCTAAACAGTAGCCACTCCCTCTTATAATTTTCACCTTTAACTTTGCATCCTAGAAATATATTCTACCTACAGAACCTTGTTTGTTTATCCACCACAAATTTTCAAATGGCCCATTTGATGTTGACAACTATTTGGCCCTCTTTAGATTCCAGTAATTTACATCATTAGAAGAAAAATTATTACACAAAACAGGATCTGCATTTCTGTTATTTATGGGGTCTGCAGATGTGACTGTTTCAGATTCTAAAATAGTTTCACTTTTCTACACCATTATTAATTTTTTTTTTACTACAGCAAGGGATGGATGCAGAATTTGGAATAAATTCTGTTATAGTTATATTGCTGTTAGTAATTTCAGCACTAGCAGTACTAGTACAATGATTTGCACCCATTAAACTGGAGCATTCAATAGAAGAAGTCTCTTCGGAAGTTAATTTTGGAATTGTCTTTAGGGATTCACAAATCCTTCTCTTTTTATCTTCTGTGAGCTTTCATTTTTGCACTCTTCTTAGTTATTGCCATTTCATTTTACCTGGATATAAAATTATGTTGCTTTTTAAATTTGGTTCTACCATAGCAAATAAATTTGAATAATTGAAAATAAAATTTATTTAAAAAGTAAAACCTACCAAATAAAATTTACATTTGAATTTGGACATTCACAAAATATTACATGTGAAAACTAGTAAGTAAAAAAATTGATTTGGAACATGTAATTTTGTTATTCAGGTCTGAGATAGTCAAAAGAAATAGTACTTACAAGGCAGCCGGAAATAATTTCATTCATTTGTCGTACAGTGTTGGTGGACAGACTCTTTGCAGATCTCTGTAAGTGTTTTTTGTCTTGAAATAACACTTAAAAACTTTCGCACTCACTTTCTGTCCTTTGATGCTGCATCTTCACAGTTCATTGGACTACTGCTGATACCCAATGGGGGCAAGAGCAATCACAAAGAGCCATGTACAAATACAAAGGTATGCTCAATCTGAAGATACATTTTGGTTTGCTTTGCCCAGGACAGAACCAGATATGTCCTGAGTCATGTGATTATAGTGCTGCTGGTGCGTTCTTATGTGGGTGTTGAGAGAGAACTGAATGTGAGATTATACCCGATCGGTTCAAAATGAAAAGGAAAATATAATTGCTCTCATACACAAAATTTATAAAATGTACATTTTATTTCCTTGTGGAATTATTCAACTCCCATATTCAGAGATATGTACATAATTGATGTAACAAAGCACAACTTCTCGACGAGCAAGTTTGTTTTGTGAGTCATAACAATATCAATTTCTTAAAAGAAAGTCAGTCTGAAGGGAAATGGAAAATAAAATACATTTATGTAATTTTTATTATCTAAATATTCATTAAATTTATTTCCTTGAGGAATTGTTCAATTTCCTTACATGGAGATATGTAAATATTCTGATAAATTATAAATGTAATGTTAAATGTCCTTTATTGCTTTCTTGAAAGAAGAATTTAGAGACACACTCATTGTTGCAAAACAGAAACATATTTTCCATGATAAATAAATATTGAATTTTGCATCCTCTTAATGTGCCTAGTACCTCATTTATTAGCATATATAGAGTAATATCAAGCACTGTGTCCCACGCAACAGACAATAAAAAATGAAACTCCCTTGGTACATAAAATAAAACTTTACATGTTAGGTAAATATTAATATTTCCAGTATCTTTTGGATGTTTGCTATGTTAGTATTATATTAATTTATTACCCATGTTAGTATTATATTAAATGTATGCTAGATTGTGTCCATGTGTATGCCAAACATATTTTAAAGTTAAAGTCACAAATATTATTGTTTACAAAACTTAGGACATAACTCTGTATGTAAATGCTATACAGTTAAAAAGTAACTTGATTGAATTCATTGCAATGGTCGACTTATTTGAGTTCCCTCGCTTTTGCGCATCACCTGGGACTGGAGTTCCCATTGGTTGTTTACCAGAATATGCATAAAAGCATACCCTTGTGTTTGTATCATGGCAAAGAGCACTGCTGGCCCTCCTGGCTGGAGTTGCTATGTCAGTAGACGTGGATGTACAAGATGGTTCTCTCAAAATGGATCAGAGAGCTGTTATATATTAATATAACCCATCCTTGCCCAGTAACCACTCATGTTGGATCCGGTTGCGTATTGGGTGAATGTAGCAAGAGTTAGACTCAACAGTCCACCTCCACTTCTTGTTTATTAGAAAGAAATACTATACTCCCAAGAGATCCACAGAGATAAGAAGTTTCAATTACATGGGAGAGGACCTTAGGAGACAGGTGTCAATGAAGGTGTTGAAGTGGTAGGGGCCTTGTAGCTTAAATAACCTGGCACGTGGGCACCTTCATGACCCTGCATGAACTTTATTGTGGCCAACACATTCTCATGCACTGGAGCTGGTTTCAATTTCATTTAGTGCCCCGTCAGTTCCCTTCCTGTGCAGTACTCACTTTTCCTTCTGTCCTGTCTGCTTGGCATCTGTGGGTCTTTGCTTTGGACAACTGGTGCCCCGGTTTTGTTGATGCCCTAAGCACATGCTTACCTTTATTATTGGGTAATCCATCTCTGCTCCTTATCAGTTAGGCTCCTGTTGCCTCGAGTCAATTCCGACTCATACTAGCTAATGGAACTCAGCCTTCCTGGGTGCCTCCTACTTTGGGAACAGAGTGCTCTCTGGTGGCAAACAGAACCTTTGGCAGCAAGTACAACATGATCATTGTGGCCCAAAGAAGTCCAAAGATGTTGGCAGGGCCTTAGAGACCTTCTAGTCCAACCCTCCCGTTCTACAGATGAGAATCTAAGGCCCAGAGAGGGGCGGTGGCCCGCCCAGTGTCACAGAGCAAGTTAATGCCAAAGTTTTTGCTGATTTGGTAAAGGTAATGTACACAGGCTGTGTTTCCCTAATTACTAGCTGTGTGACCTTGGACAAATTACCTAACCTCTCTGACCCTCATTTACTTCCTCTGTAAAATCAAGATGGCAATGGTTCACATGCTACAACATGGATGAACCTTCCTTGAAAGTATTATGCTAAGTGAAATAAGTCAGACACGAAAGAATAAATGTTATATGATACCACTCGTATGAAATATCTAGAACAGGAAAACGCATAGAGACAGAAAATAGGTTAGTGGTTACCAAGGGCTAGAGGTGATGAAAAAGTTTTGGAAAAAAAGCGGTGATGGTTGCACAACCTTGTAAATATAATGCCACTGAAAGGTACACTTAAAATGGCAAATTTTATGTTATATATATTTCACTACAATCAAAAATAAAGATGATAATGTTTCTCCCTCTGTGTCTGCTGGAGGATTAAATGAGGCAAAGCCTGTAAAGTGCTTGATTTGCGATCTTTTGAATTGGGAGGATCAAGGGACAAGTTAATAATTACCCTGGGAAAAGGACATTTAAGCACGCTGTCAGTACTTTACTTGCAGGTTCCTCCACCGGTATGTCCCAAGCCCCTAAAACTGGAACAGGAGGTGGCAAAGATTAGGACTAGTGTCCTGGCTCTTGGACACTGCCCAGACTCAACCATGTCTGGACTTGGCTGGAAACAGCTTTATCAGCCGAAGTTCTCCAGACACCAAGTCACAAGCAATGGGAGGCAGAGGCCTGCTCACATGACTCTTGAGCCTCTGTGGAGGCCAAGGGCTATTTTATGGGGACTTTTGGGCACTCACTGATCATTATCCCTTAGGGACAGATGGGAGCCACAGTAGGAGCCACGTTTATTTCTTTTGGTGCATTTTTTATCAACCAATTCATACTACACTAAGCATTTCAAATTCTTCCCGCTCTCATAACAACACAGATTCTTTTCCCAATTATCAATTAAACTCATTATTCTTAACTCTTTGTTTCTCGTAAACTTAAACCATCTCTCAAAACAATTTACTTTACAATATCCAGGACCAATAATATTACCTTCCTAGAAAATCAATTGTTTGCGAAACGCAAATTTTATCTATCTATCTATTTTCTATTTATTCACTTATTCGTTCATTCATCTGTGGTTTGATCAAGGGCAGGCAACCCCTTTAACGTATTTTCCAATATTGTCCCAGAAGAATGTTTAACAGAATGTTGGCAAAGAGTGAATGCCTAAAAAAACAAAAACAAAAAAACCCATTGTGGTCGAATTGATTCCGACTCATAGCAACACTATAGGACAGAGTAGAACTGCCCCATAGGGTTTCCAAGACTAAATCTTTATGGAAGCAGACTGCCACATATCTCCCTTAAGTTTCATTTAAATCCCAAATTACACCAGGCAGGCCTCAGCCAATACTCCCATGCAAGCCAGGTCTGATGGCTTTTTTTGAGAAAATGGGTGTGAAATAAGACAAGAAGGCAAGACACTCAGAAACAAGTCCTTTTCCCAAAATCACAAAGAAAAGCAAATTCTCACTGGGGTCAGGAATAAGACCCAAGGGCTACTTCTGGATGTACAACAACCTCACCTGGTGCTTCACTGCTTATTTAACCAAAGATCGAAACATTGGAAGAAACTTTATCAAATCTATCTCCTAAAGAGACAAATCAATCTAAAAGTTTTCCAGATCTACAAATGAAATTTCTACTGGTTAAGCAGCAGCTCAGCATTCCTCCTCGCTCCAAGCACAAATCCCTGGGTTTTCAGCTGTTTCAGCTTCACTTCTTAACTAGGCTGCATCATTCTAGGCTCAGCCTGGGTATAAGCCACCACAACCCCCGTCTTCTCTCCATTTCTACAGGAGGACGACGGTAAGTGTCACCCATGGGCTCCTCACTTCTTGCTACAGTCTTCACGTATATGTGGCCTTCTTCTGTCGCCATTATATTATCATGTGTGGGTGACCGTCGAGGATTCTTGTGAAAAAAAAAAAAAGTGTTAGTTTTTAAAAATGCAGCAGAGACTTCTGCTTCCATCCGAGATGGAATAACAGCAACCAGACAAAATATAAAACAATGGTTTTCAAGACACAGGAATTCAAGCAAGGAAGGCAAGTGATCCTTGAGAGACAAAAAATAAATGAGGAGAGGCTTACAATTGCCTTGGGAGAATTTTCAGGCAGCAGTGTATGGATGGGGAACCCAAGCAGAACCAACAGATTCCCTGAGTTGAGGAGATGGAGCTGAGAGTCTGTTAAGACCAAAAGAGCTAAAGTTCACAGGGTAAAGCAGTAGAGAGGAGGTAGCTGGACATAGAGAAAACTCCAAACACACATGCATCGAGGAGATTACCTGAGATGGAGCTAGTCACCTGGTAAGGGATATTCCCTTACTTGGTAATAATCTTTGCTCAGAAATCTACTTTGTCTGATATTAATATAGCTACTCAAGCTTTATTTTGTTTAATGTTACCATAGTATCTCTTTTTCCATCCTTTTACTTTTAATCTATTTGTGTCTTTATGTTCACAGTGAGTTTTTTATAGGCAGCTTTTTTATCCAATCTGACAATTTCTGCCTTTTAATTGAGGTACTTGGGCCATTTACATTTAATATGATTATTGATATTTGTAGTTATTGACTCGTGAAGACCCCAAGTGTGCAGAATAGAACTGCTCAGGGCTTCAAGGCTGTGACCTTTTGGAAGCAGATCGCCAGACCTATCTCCTAAAGTGCCTCTGGATGTGTTTGAACTGCTAACCTTTTGGCTAGTAGTTAAATGCTTAATCATGTGCACCACCCAAGGACTCCTGATCATTGATATGGTGGGGTTTAAATATAACATCTTGCCATTTGTTATCTATTCCATCTGATATCGTTACTTTTTAAATCTTTTATTTATTTATTTGTCTTCTTTTGTGCCTCAACTTTTCTCACCTCTTTGTTCTTCTACATAGGTTTTAGAAGGATCTTATTAAATTACATGAAAAAAATCCATTGGGATTTATATTGGAATTACATTTATTATATAGATCAATTTGGAGTTGTTTGACATCTTTATATTATTGAGTCTTCTATCCAGGAGTATAGTGTATAATTGCTATTATTTAGGTCTTATTTAATCTCTTTTACTAAAGTTTTATTTTTCTCCATAAAGGGATTACATATTTTTGTTAGATTCTTTTCATCACCACTGTGTATCTATTTTATTGCCATTGAAAAATGGTATTTTTTTAGAATTAATTTTTCTAATTGATTGTTGTTGATATTTAGAAATACAAATTACTTTTATGTATTGATTTTGTATTCAGTAAACTTGTTAAAATCTCTTGTTAATTCTAATAATTTATCTGTAGATTACTTGGCTTTTCTTCATAGACATCATGTCATCTTCATATAATAACAGTATTTTTTCTTCCTTTCCAGTCTTATACTTTCTATTTCTTTTTAGTATCCTATTGTGTTGACTTGACTAGAAGCTTAAGTACAATGTTGAATAGAAGTGTTATAAGTGAGCATCCTTGTTTTGTTTCTGATCTTAAAAGAGAGTGCTTTCAATATTTTACCCTTGATATGATATTTGCTGTAGTTTTGGGGTTTTTTTCCCAAAGATATCCTCTATCAAGTTAAGGATGTTCTTGTGCTATTTTTGGTTTGCTAAGAGTTCACATCACATATGGCTTTTGAAATTTTTTTTAACTCTCTTCTATTAACATGGTCACATAATTTTTCTGTTTTAGATCATCAGTGAAATAAATTGCATTAATTGATTTTCCAATATTAAATCCTGTTCAGTCAATAAAAATCCACTGAGAACCTTCTTTGTGCTTGAACTTCCCTTGGTGAAGTTCACACATGTGGTCCACATATGTTCAGAGAATACTTTCCCTGTAAATGAAAGGCTTTAAAACTCTTACCTTGTTTACTGTGTAAATGATATTTAGAGATTATAACCAAGAGTTCTTACCTCAGATATCTTGGGATTGTCAAAGATGTCTGAAATTTCACATGGTTTCTCATGTTCCTAAATTGGTATCCAAACAAAGAAGAAGAAATGAAGAGTCACAACATTTGACCACGACCATAATTAAAATCAGTGGTTCTTAAATGTGGATGCCTATTAGAATCATCAGGGAGCTTTAAAAACAAAACAAAGCAAGCAAACAAACAGATTATAACTCCTCCCCACCCCTGTCAAAAACAAAAACAAGAAACCAATGTGAGTTACTCTGAAAATAATCCAAAATTGAAAGTGTGAAGGAGTGGGTGGGAGTAGAGATGAAACAATTTTGGCCATGAGTTGATAGTTGGCTTCATTATGCGATTCTCTCTACTTTTGTATATATTTAAAATTATCCATAATAAAAACTTTTATAGAAGACCAATGCACAGCTCTATCATCCAGAGATTCTGATTTAATTGGCTTTGGCTACTGGCTTTTTTTTTTTTTTTAAGCCTTCTGGATTCTAAAGCATACTGAGGAGTTGAGATATCTTACTTAAATAATACCACCAACAACCACAATACTTCTTAATGTTTTTAAAGTGTACAGCTTGTCAAACATCTTTACATTCATGATCTCATTTCCTCCTTCCAACTTTGCCTACCTTGTAAAATAGAGAAGGCAATTTTTATGACTTTTTTTGGTGTTGAACTAACTGAGACTCAGAAAAGTTTAAGTCACTAGTCCAGGATCATGTAACCCATAAAGTAGCAGAGCTGAGAATAGATCCTAGGTTTTCCATCTCCCCATTAATACTTACAGTATGAGAACAACCATGAATGTTCATAAACAGTGAATAAAATTAGAATACAGAGTCCACATGACACATTTTTATCATAACCACAGAACCTCAATGGATATTTCTCTCTGTGGCCTTTGAACTCTGGGCATGGGCCTCAGAGTAAGCTGGTATTTAGGGGATGGGTAGCTTCTCTTGTGACATGTGTGTTCAGATGTGGACAAAGGGCAGAAATAAATAGGGTCATATACTTCTGGACACATCCCTACCATAGATACCTGAGCACCTTTTTGTTCCCTGTCTTTCTGAAGATTGTCTCCAACCTCTCTGTGAAGTTTGTGCCCTTCTCTTTCCCATATTTAGAAAAGACTGTATAGACATGAGTTTGCCATGGCAACAAACATCCTTTTCCACTGCTACTCTTTGCCACTTTCCTTCTTGCTACAGATTTCTTCAAGTGCCCTGAAGGTTGTGCTGACAAATATCTCTGCCTAGTGTGTAATATCTTGAGTCTAAGATAGAAACCTAGGCACAGAAACTGCTACCATCTTGTCCTCAGGAAACAGACATGGGTCCTGGATTCTGGCACTCTTAGTCCAGAAGTCAGTTCACTGAAATATTGATTTCTGCTAACACAGTCAGAACCAAAGAAGCTGGCAGTTACCTCAACTGAGTCATTACTTCTTCTTCTCCGTTGAATCAAGGTCAATAAGAAAGCCACTAGCAAGGCTGTGGCCACCAGGGATGGGATACCTGCTGCCAACCCAACAGAAGGCCCACAGTCCTGAGAAGAGAGAGAAACATACAGTCAGGGGATGCCCAGGCCCTCCAGGAATAAAGGAAAAGTTTGATAGATTAAAAATAAAACAAAACAAAAAACCTGTGTGGACACTAAATGTCATATACAAAATCAAAAGCATAATGGAATACTGTGAAAAAATGTTTGCAACATATGTGACAAATGACTTATTTCATAGTTTAAAATGGTGATAATTCAATAGAAGAATGGGTAAGGGATATGGCTGGCTATTCCTAGGAACAGAAACACAAATGTCTGATCAACATGAGAAAAGCTGCTAAGCCTCCCTGCTGATATACAATTCAAAGCAACATTAGATATCATTTCACCTATCAGTTTAGCATACAGGAAAAGGTTTTATAATACCCCACACCATTTTGATGTGAATTCTTTGGATTTATTTACACAATTTATTAACTAGTTAATTTTCAAATTCCTGCTTGGTTCTGCTCTGAGTGGAAATAGCCATCCTTGTAGCCACATACGTTTTCAGACTACCTGGAAATAGCAAAGATAATCTGCAGAATGCCTATAAATCTACAATTCTCATTTAATTCTGGAGTCTTTTTCACTTTGGTGGGGGGTGATATTATGGAAGAATAACATATATACCGAAAAGTATACAAATTATAATTATATCCTTATGACTTGGTGACATTTTAGATGATGAACACACCTCTGTAACCAGCACCCAGATCAAGACACAGAACACTGCCAGCACCCCAGGGGCCCCATCGTGCTCCCTTCCAGTCACCACAAGTGCGACCTCTATCCTGATTTCTATCACTATGTATTAGTTTTGTCTGTTTTTGAACTTGATGTTGGTACAAATATAAAGTATATACTTTTTTGTGTCTGGCTCTTCTGCTCAACTTCGTGAAATTCATTGGTGTTTTTGAGTGTTCTCTACATTTTTTAAATCTCTTTTTCTTGTTGTGATAAAATACATATAACATAAAATCTGCCATTTTAACCATTTTAAAATGTACAATTCAGTGGCATTAATCATATTCACAATGTTGTATAACCATCACTACTATTTCCAAGTTTTTTATCACCCCAAACTCAATACCCCTTAGGCAATAACTGTACATTTCACCCTCTCCCCAGCCCCTAGTAACCACTAACAACCATTTGTCTCTATGCTTTTGACTATTCTAGAAATTTCATATAAGTGGGGTCAATCAATATTTACCCTTTTGTGTCTGACTTATTTCACTCAACATAATGTTTTCATGGTTCATCTGTGTCTTAGCATGTATCAGAACTTCATTTCTCCTTATGGCTGAATAATATGCCATTGTATGGATATACCACATTTAGTTTATCCATCCTTCTGTTGATGAACACTTGAGTTGTTTCCACCCTTTGGCTATTGTGAGTAATGCTGCTATGAACACTGGTATGCATGTATCTGTTTGAGTTCTTGTGTTCAATGCCTTTGGGTATATACCTAGGGATGGAATTGCTGGTCATATGAAGCCCTGGCAGTGCAGTGGTTAAGAGCTCGGCTGCTAATCAAAAGGTCAGTAGCTCGAATCCACCAGCCGCTCCTTGGAAACCCCATGGAGCAGTTCTACTCTGTCCTACAGGGTCACTGTGAGTTGGAATCGACTTGACAGCAATGGGTGTGGTTTTTTCTTTATGGTAATTCTATATTTAACTTTTTGAAGAAACTTCAAACTCTCCTTCACTTTTGAAGTGAGTTATTGAGCCAGGTCCTATTGCCAGGAACATACCAAATTTTCTCTAATGCTCAGAACAAATGCATGATATGGCTAGAGAGTTATTATCCCCAAATTATAAATGACTAAACCATGGTTCTATAATTTAAGCGATATACTTACTGCTTCTTTCCCACCTGTAACAACTGGGGAGGGAGTCTGTAGAAAAAGAACATGCATCTTAAGAAAACAAAATCTATAGACTATATGTTTTACAAGATACTCTGTCCAAAGTTCAGCTCTACTGTCTCAAGTTCACCCCTTTGCTGAGCTTTATGTTAAAAAAAAAAATTGCCAAATAGAACCTTACTTCCTTGCTTCCCAGGTGAGAACTGGAATGAAATTTGAATAGAAGGATATAGAATTCAGAAATTCAGATATTGTCTTCATTATTCACCCTTGGGTTTGCCATAACACAGTTTGCAACCCCAAAAGACTTTCTCCTGCCTCTAGTCCCCATCCTCCTAGCACTTTTGAGCTTATTGGTCCCTGTTGCTCAGAAGGGAAACAAATGTAAATACTGGTGGAAGCAAGGCTCTTAGAGGAAGCCTTATTTGTTTTCAAACGTGTAATGAAGCAACTGGTTCCGGGGGTATCTGAGGTTGTAAACTATCTGAGCTGCTGGTGATAATCCCGCAATGAATGGCTCACATTTCCACTCAAGGAGTAGCCTTTGACTTCACCCATTTATGAGATATTTTAGGTGAGAGTCTTGCCTTGAGCCATAAATCTCAAGGAACAAAGTTCTACATTAGCAATTAACTCATGGAAATTACACTAAGTGGCAGAGTGTGCGGTTAAGAGAGCAGGCCCTGGGCCCATTCAGTTCATCCTCTGAATAACCATATAACTAACTGATTAGAAAAATCTGAGAGAGTCAAATCCACTGAATAACTGGACCAGGAAATTGTCTAGCACAATCATAGTGGCACTACTGGTCAGAAAACAGCCCTGGGTGTTGTGTTATCTCTACACACAGGTGAGCAGAAGACGAAGATCAAGTGTGGATTGAAACTGTACACCACGTACAACTGAAAGTCTCCATTTTGACTTGCAACTAAGTGCCATAATCAAGAATCATAAAATGCCCTTTTTTTTTTTTTTTTTTTTTTTGGTTAATCTAATGATCTCTCTTCTAGACTAAGGAAATAATCTTAAATGCAGGCCAGGATTTATGTATAATGATGTTTACCACAAACTTATTTCTAATTGTAGTTAATCAACTGAAGGAATAACCCACTTGGAGCTGTATCATATGACCATCCTCTATTACATTTATAAAGACTGATATATAATGGAAATTATATGTAGAGTAAAATTTCCAAAGACCAAAAAAAGTTAAAATTTATGTAAAGTCAAAAAGGACTGGAATAGGCTATACCAAAATGTTTTCTGAAGATGGAAATTTAGGTGCTTTTTCTACTATTTTCCTCATTTCCCATAATGTGTACTTATAATTTTTATAATTAAAAAAAATTCAGCACCCTCAACTATTGATAAATGATTTTGAAAAACTGTACCACTTAGCATTGTACATGAAGTTTATGGCATGGAGTTCTAGAAGTCCAGCGTAAATTCTGCATTGGCCTTCCCTAACTTGTCTGGTGTATGGGGACTGATGTACTTACCGTGTTAGCCGGCAGGGTGAAGTTTAGGGAAAAACTCTGGAAGAGAGAAGGAAACATTAAAGCTCCCAGGAATGGTCAGCCTGGCTTGTGACCCCTCCCTCAAACTTCACTGACCCTGGCTGGCTGTTAGAGGACTTATTGATCTTGAAAGCTCAGCCGGCCCCAATCTCCATTACCAATCTTGGCCCCAAAGTTTTGGGGTTTGGGACAAGGGACAGAGGAGCCTGAAGTAATGAGTAATGAGTTCCTCCTTTAGCAGCCTTTTCTCCTCCCCAAGTCCTCAGACAGGGACAGATTAAAGGGCCCACCAGTGGGGCTTTTGCCTGATTCACAAAAACATTGCTAGAAATTCAGCAAAGGGCTGAAATGTGTTTTTTCCCAGAACTCCTTTCAGGGAGAAAACTGCACGTATAAGGTTAGAAGTACTTTGACACTTCCCAGCCCAAGCAGGAGGAACCCCTAAGGAGCATACTGCAACAAGAACACAAAATTACCTTCTGAAAGGACTTAGACTGGTAAAGACAAGGCTTCCATTTTAGCTGAATCTGATGCAGAGGTTCTGTACTGAAGATGAACTCGATCATCGAGGAGAGGCTAACCCTTCCCTCACTCAGAACCTAGTCTTCCCATTGCCAGCGAGTTAATTCCAACTCATAGCAACCCTAGAGGACAGAGTAGAACTGCCCATAGGGTTTCCAAAGCTGTAATCTTTGTAGAAACAGACTTCCACATCTTTCTTCCGAGGAGTGACTGCTGGGTTTGAATTGCCGACCTTCTGGTTAGCAGCTGAGCGCTTTAACCACTGCACCACCAGGGCTCCTTCCACCCAGTCTTACCTCTCCCTAAATATGGAATCACTATTTAAAGATCATGAGCTCAATGAGACACCAAATCGTTAGCCTGCCCAGGTGCCATCTATTAGGGACAGGCCCTGCCCAAGGTCTCCTAGTGGCTCCTTCCTCTTCCTGTCCCCATCCCCTGTCACTCCAGTTTGGGCTCCTCAATGCCAAGGTTTTCAGGCTGGTTCTTCACCAAGTCCCTTCCCTGCTTGGACAGGAACAATGGGTGGGCTGTGCTCTAACTCAGCTGGTGATACTTTCTGCCCCTTGTGTCCCTGGGCTGAAGCGGTCTTGTTTCTACTTTCTGGACTCACAACCCTTGTGTCCAGTGTCCCTGGATTAATGGCCCCCTGGATGTGCCCCTAATCAGCTCCAGCCTTCCTGACCCCCAGGGTTTGGCCAGCACTCTAGCTCCTGGTCTTCCCCAAGGCCTCCAGGATAGGTTCCATCATTCTAGAAGCAATGTATTTGCTAAGTTTTTAGATTAGATGCTATCTAACAACAGAAATATCAAATAATGTGAAGGATTAAATATCCAAAAGAATCATAAAATTTTAGACCTGAAGTGCCTCAGAGACCATCTACCTTAAAACCCTCATTTTATAGAAGAGGGAACTGAGATCCAAGGACTCATCAGAAGTTGCCTCATGAATAAATGAGAACAGGTATGGTCTCCATCTCTTAAAACAAGCCAGATGAGCTCTGTCCATGTAATTCAAGCCCAACTCGAAAGACGGTTCTAGAGGAGATAGTCCCAATATATGCAAGATTACTGAAATGTCTACTTTAGCCAGTTTACTAGTAGGTTGGAGTTCAGATGGATTAATACATGAGAAAATATTTTGTGAACCAAAAGTGTTTTAAGCGCCTATGATGTATTCTCCACCCCACTCCCGTCCCAAAGATTATATGCTTCAACCAAGATGGACCCATCCAGCTAGCATGCTATATTGGTGATTTTGCTCACTTCTATCTCTCTCTTAACAACACGGTGCCCTCACTTTATAGAGGAAGAAACCAAGGCTCGAGAATGTGACCAGGTTGCCCAAGTTCACATGACGGTTAGCTGTCACCAAAACCCAGATCTTCTGGTGGCAGGCCTCTTTCCACTGCTCCACAAAGCTTCCACACAACCTATAGTTTCTGCAGACTAGGTGGAGCCCCCAGGCTCACAGAACTATACACCTCTTCTTTTAGGACAATGCTAGAGTGAGTGGGACATCTGGGATACCTTAAGTCGGGGTCATTTTGCTCAAGGGCCCTAACCACTGTCCTTCATGCTAGCACCAGGCAAGCCCACAGGAGCTGCGGGGACACTTGATGGTCACTGCATTGAGTAACGCAGCTGCCCAGGGCCTTATCTCATCAGTGAGCAGTGGATACTGATGTCAGCAGGCCCAAGACAAAGCTTCCTTTTGGGGGAGAGTAGAGGAGGGTGAGCAGTAACAAGCGGGCAATTGCATGCACTGTTTGTCAACATTTGGATAACAAAGATTTTGGCCAATTTCAGAAAGACATTCATGTTTTGTAGAAACACAGTACAGTGATCTCATGGGGACAAAAATATCATGCAGATTTGGGTACAGAAGAATCTAATAAAGTGCCCTTTAGAGAAGCAGCTAGGTGGGGTAAGGCAACCCCAGGCTTTGGAGTCACCTGATTTGGATCTCGTCCAGACTCAGCCACATAGTAGCTGTGTGGCCTTTGACAAGTCATTCAATCTCTCTGGTCTCCATTTCCTCACAATAGATCTACTCTCCCAGGCTCAGTTTTCCCATGCCCAAAATGGGGAACTATCTGGCCCACTTCACAGGATAAACCCAAAAGAGATAGTGTCTGTGGCAGCTTCTTCCAAACACTAAAATACTCTAGTTGTGTGAGGGATCACCTGGTGCCATAGTCTTTATGATCTGTCTAGTACAGAGCAAGGCACAGGGAAGCCACTTGGCAAATTCTTGTAGTATGGAATTGCATGCATGCATTAGCAGTATTTAAAGTACCAGAATTTGATACAATATATTGTTGCTAATGGCACAGTGGTCATGCACTTGGCTGCTAACTGAAACATTGGCAGTTCAAACCCACCAGCTGCTCCGTGGGAGAAAGATTTGGCAGCCTGCTTGTGTAAAGATTACCGTCTTGGAAACCGTATGGGGAAGTTCTACTCTGTCTTACAGGGTCGCTATGAGTTGGAATCGACTGGACGGCAACGGGTTACACTTACTGCTAAAACTAGCCCAAGCACTATGTAATAGCTTCATAATAATTCTGTAGGCACTTAAGCTCTCAGTGGCTGAGTGTCGCTTGTGTTCTGAGCTTGCTGTTTGTGAGGAGAAAGGAGAGATGAGGAATAATAACTCACTGTTACTGAGTGTGTACTGTCTATCAGGCACTGGACTAGTAACCTCTCCATGAGGTGAGCGCTTTTATCCCTACACCATAGATTTGTGGAAACTGAGATAGGTTTCTGAAGGTCACCAGCTGGTAAGTGGTAAAGGCTGGATTAGATCACAGATCTTCCTAACTCCAAGCCCTCAATTCAACTCCTTTTAATAATCCCTTTAATAAAGGAATCACAGAAACCTCTTCTGCTTTTCCTCCTCATTTAGAAAACACTGTTTCATTGAGTCACAATCAAATATGTATCACAAGGCAAAAAGAAAAAGAAACTTATAAACATCTATATTCCTGATAATGTAGCAAAAGGCAGATTGAGCAAAGGAGAACCATAAAGTCATCCATCCAACCCGTTGCTTTGACTAGGAGATTCATGGAGCTGAAACAGCTAGTCTGCACTCTTGGAGGTGGGGTTTTAGACTCAAAATAAAATAAAAGATGAGACTGGAAAAGATTAGATTAAATTTTTAAAAAAATTAATGTTTTACACATAGAAAAAAGCTTAAAAACCAAGCCCCTTGACTTCATTGTACTGAGGGTCTGGTCCATTTGTTTAGGAGAGATAAAGATACATTGAATTAGGAGACATGGGCTTTAAAAGCCTGGGAATTCTCTTACAGAGAGAGATCACGGTTAGGCTGAGAAAAGACATTAGTTCTTACTCACCATTTCTGACAGCCTCCCAAAAGCCTTCTCCAAACACTGCCCTTGGTGAGTTTAAGCTCCTTTCTCGCTGGCGTTATTGGCTTGTGTCTCCCATTTGCAGGAACATTCAACTGGAAGAGCAAGGGCAGCAGGGTGAGGAGTGGCTTCAAGAGAGCCCACTGGCTGCAGAGCCCCTGCCAAGCCATTTATGGTCAGGGGAGTAGCCAAGTCCTTGGCCCATCCCTCAGGAAAGATGGTCTCTGCTTCCTGGCCACCGTGTAGCATGTGTCATCTACTCTTTGCCTTCGTTTTCTGTCCTTCTTACTTTTCAGGTCCCTTCCTTGGTACACCTCAGTCTTAGCAATGAAGCCACAGCTGGCCTGAGAGCTTGGAGGCTTCTGTAGCCAGCCACTCTCTAGAAACAATGGGTTACACAGGGCTGCGGCTGGCAGCTCCATCTCCAGCTGACAGGCATCGGTCGTTTACCACTTTCCTGGCGATGATGGGGTCAACACCTTACCAGCATCAATGCAGCGAATGCCTGGAAGATGGACATTGGAGCCTGTTGTGTATTTGAGACAGGGCTGTAGCTGCCACAATAAACACACTTGTCAATGAGCTGCCTAGTGGTGAGTTTCGACTTACCCCCTTCCTATTCTCACATCTTGAGTGCGAAGCTTCCTCGAACCGAAGAAAGCAGTTGGCGCAGGCTGCTTTCTATTTCTTATGATTTCTCTAAGTTTGCTTCTTTAAAACAACAGAATAAAAGCCAGTAATTTGGTCATTTAAATGAATTCATTCAACAAATAGTTTTTACACCTACTATTTGTCAAGGAGCACTGGTGGCACAATGGTTATAAGCTTAGCTGCTAACAAAAAAGTTAGCAGTTCGAATCCACCAGCCACTCCTTGGAAATCCTATGGGCCAGTTCTACTCTGTCTTATAGGTCACTATGAGTTGGAACTGACTCCACTGCAACTTGTTTGGTTTTTTGGTTTATATGTCAAAGGAGCTCTGGTGTCGAAGTGGTTAAGAGCTCAGGCTGCTAACCAAAAGGTCAGCAGTTCAAATCCACCAGCTGCCCCTTTGGGGCAGTTCTACTCTGTCCTATCGGGTCTCTATGAGTCGGAATCTACTCCACGGCAACAGGTTTGGTTTGGTATATGTCAAAGGACTCACCATGAGTCAGAACCAATTTGATGGTAATCAATAGCAACAACATATGTCAAGGGCTATTCTGGGCACTTCTGGATATTGGTGATGAAGACAAATGAGGCCCCAGCTCTCATGGATTTATGTTCTAGAGGGCAGACCTACAACAATCAAGTAAACAAGTGAAAAGCATTTGAGGAACAAATGCAGTAGGATAAGGAGACAGTGGTCAGGTAACTGGGGAGGCAGTTACTCTAGACATCTCTGAGAGATGACATTAAAGCTGCACATGAAAGAAGAGAAGAGGGCAGATGTGTAAAAGGTTGAGGGAAGAGAGTCCCAGGCAGAGGGAACAGCAAGTGAACAAGGCTGAAACAAGCTTGGTGTGTTCAGGGAACTGAAAAGAGGCTGGTGTGGCTGGAGCAACATGAAGGAACCTGGAAGTGGTTAAGAGCAGAGTGAGTTAGAGACCTGATTATGTGGGCATGGCAGGACATGGGAAGATTTTCATTCCTAGAAAAATAGAGAGACTGCAGGGTTTTAAATGGGA